AGAAACAATAAGACACTATTTATTCGTCGAAGTAATTACCATCACATTCAATAACCTTTTGCCAACGTGGAACCAATTGTTGTATGCCGGTATTATAGAACTCCCTGGATTTGGAGTAAAAAGATTGGCGGATCGCATTTATTACACCATCTCGAGTTGTGAACTGTCGGTGACTCATACAGTTGTCAAGAGACAAAAAAAGGTGATAATCACTGGGCGAAATGTCGGAAGAATATGGCGGGTGCGGTAACGTTTCCCAGCCGAGTTCAGAAATTTTTTCTCGGGTCACTTTTGCGGTATGAGGCCTGACGTTATCCTGCAAGAATGTCACTTTCTTCCGATTGATCAAAGAAGGCTGTTTCTGGACGAGTGCTGCTTGTACCGCTGAAACTACTCACAATACAAGTTAGCAGTGATGGTTGGACCCGTTTCCAAAAACTCTTAATGGACAATTCCAGTGGCTGCCCACCAAACACACAAAACCTTGTTTGGGTGCAAGGAAGCCTTGGGAGTGTGTGGTATCGAATCAGTAGGCTACAACCAATGATACGAACGCTTAGAATTCGAATACAAGATCCATGTTTCGTCGCAGGCTAATAACCGATTAAGAAATGGTTCATTAGCGTTGCGTGAAATGTTTGCTGAACAAATGGTAAGATGACTTGTACTCATACAGTAAACAACTTCGAATTACTGTTTTATTCGTCGCCATTTTCAATTATTAAAACTAGGTATGTAACAATTTTCAGCAACTGTTTATGTGTGTGAGAAAAGAAGGATTCATACTAAAGTGACAACAGGTAACAAACAATCGCTATCGATCAACAACATCCATGGCAATGTGTGATATACAGCCACCGCACGAACTTATTTGGTTACCTGGTATATCCTATTACCTTTTCAACCTTTCTTTCAAAAGTTGATTTCTATTAGGAAAGATGATATAAATTGTACGTCACACAGACCTTTTCTAGGGTGCCAATATAAAGAAAGATTATCGTCACATCATGTGAATTGACACAAATAATTATCAAAATCTCAATCGATGACAGACCTATAGGTATCTGAGGCGACGGTGGTATATTTCTGAATTTCTTAACGCTTAAGCGAGGTGGCCGTGAGTTTGCGTCCCAACTATTGATTTCATGTGTTGTGATAATAATGCCTTAGGCTAACTGCTTATCTGATGCAGCATGGTATAGACTGTTGTCTCAGAATATAAAAATATCCTGCACAGCACTGTTTTTCTATTGTTATTCAATCAGAATTGACTTATACAATTTTATAAATTATGGTTGAAAATATATTATACAAAATAATTCAGCGACGAAAATTGCAGAACTACACTTTTCTCCCGCTCTCTCCTTCTTCCATCCCTCCTTTCCATTCCGGCATGAATAGCTTTATCCATTCCAGAAAGTATCTATTTCCTCGTATTTGTTTTTCACTTTATCTTTTTCAAATTTGAAAAGGGAATTTCAAAATAATAGTGAATAGTAGGCTTAGCTAGCAAAGTTTGCCTAACTGAAACCAAAAAAAGGGATCTTGCCATTTAAGAAAATATATAAGTATACAGGCTTACTTGCACATATTCTAGGAATATTAATAAATTGCAACACTGCAAAAAGAAAAACGTTTGCCGCAATCAAAACACATAATCGTAGACAAAGAAGAAAGTTGTGGGGTGAAGTGAGCGTGCGATCTACTGCGGCTTGATAGATAACTACGATTGGCAATAATATACTTATGCGCAAGTGCGATTTTGTACGTTGGATTTCTTTTATGTTAGACCAGGGTTGTGAAAATTGTTTTTTTTTTATTCAATACCTATGTGTGTAAAGGTTTCGGAGATTGCAGATGACTTATTGTATGAAACAGCGTTAGCATTGAAGTTGGTATTGTTCTTTTCCAGGTATAAAGCTTTGATAATCTGAGATGTAACGTATATGCGTTTAACTATATTAATCAAATGTTGCTCCTAGATCGATTGGAATGTATTACCACACGCTTCTATTCACATTTTATTTGCGAACCTTTTCAAAGAAACATTAACTTCAATATGATAATTTTACTCAGATAATATTTTCTTAAAAGGGATCAGAACCAGCACAAGGTTGTTCACAGCCAGGGCCGCTAGATTGTATATGTTTTTCAATTCATGAGCCGTGAAAAGGAGGCAGGGGAAGTCATTTACCTCTAAATCAGCTGATGAATCGAGTAGCAGAGGCCACAGCTGTATGACACAAAACAGTAAAACGCATTGTGGAAGAAGGTTCGATCAAACCCACAGGCAATAAATTTGTCTTCCCAAGAAAAACTGTTTCTAAACCAAGTCCGGAATCGACAGTGGGCAGGTTTGAGGCAGAGATAAGGGAAATAATTTATGAATTTGTCCTTTTTCATAAGCGGCGTCCTACCGTTTATGAAGCTGCAAAAAATGATGGAGTAAACCTTGCGAGGAAAATCAGATACTTCAGAAAAAAATTTCATAAATTGGGTTTTTGCTGGCAAAAAGTGGAAGATAATTGGAAATTATTGATTGAAAAACAAGGCATTCATTTAAAACGAATGGAGTTTCTAAGGAAATTGAAGAAATACAAGGAAATTTTGTATGTTATGATATGTTTTCAGTCCATTCAGCAATATCGATATCTATAAAAAAATTCTCATAAACCTTAATAGATGAGTTACTTTATATGTATTTGAAAATTTTTGTGACCAAAGAAATATAAAATTTAAGCGTTAAGGTACATGAACGACAGCAAAAATTAGTGTATACTGTATGTATAGGTATGCTTTAACAAAAATGTATTGAAAAATGATTTCAATGAAAGACCGCATACTTAACAAATGAAGATTTTTGTTTTCAAAATAATTTCCTTAAAGTTTGTAAAAGTAACCGTTTACTCTAGAGGAGACCTTTTCGCAGGTAGGAACATTGTATACAGCGACGAGACTTACATTCACAGCTCTCATACAGTGCCAAAGTCGGACGATGAGCCAAATAAATGTCTGCAAGCACCACTGGTCAAGGGAAAATGATTAATTGTGTTGCATTGTGGGGGAACAATTCTTTAAATCAGGTTTGAAAAGTGGTGATTACCACCTTCCCATACTGAATAACCGAGTCTTACTTTTTCCATAATTGATTTCTCACGCTACTGATTCCATACCACGCCACCCACGCGACGACGGCGAAACACACACGAGGAACGATTTTAAGCCAGAGTTACATTAGCTCTAAGCACGTCATTGAACACTTAAATGGTAGGGAAACAACGTTTCGTAAGGGAATCAAATAAATGAATATCATTCTCAATGTTCCGTTAAAGAATACGCGTTCTGTAATTAATTTATGTTGTATCCCCACAAAAAATTATTTAACAGGAGTGCGACAAAAATTACCGAAATACTCGTAATTTGACTGAGCTACAGCAGACCTAGTATCAGTTATGTTTTTAGCAATGTGTATTGTGACGCGTCTGCTTCTCCACATATTTGAATCCGCACATGTCGTCTAACGGTCATGGCTCACGACGTTTTAAAACACCTCTACCAATATACTTTCAGAGAATACAGAACCAATGAGACCAGGGGTGCGCCTTAGACTTTACTTTCTATTCAATTTACAGCCTGGGCACTGTTCCATAAAAAGTATGGTGTACTAATTACAAGTGAATTTACTAAATTTACTTGTACTAGTACGAGATAGTGTATTCCAAGTAAGTTTCCACCAGGATGCTCATTTTTTCAGTCAAGACAGAATAGGCCAGGAAAGTCCAATAATCGCGAAAAAAATTCAAATGGAAGAATAATTTTCAGATATAACACAGTAGCAGGTACATTGTGCCGTTCATCAGGAAGCCCTTGACCCTGTATTACAGACAGATAAGTATTTATAGTTTTTGTTAATCGGTCCTGTTGTGATAGAGCGAAAACAACTAATGAATTATTGGTCCTTCTATAACTAGGAAGGTATTCGATTTTGAAGAAATTTTGAAAGGCCTAACTAATGGTAACTATTATGACCAAGAAATCTATAACTCCCTCAAACTTGACTATATCTTTTTTTCGTCTCTGGTGATTTTGAATGCAATCAAATGTTTCCTCAAAGGAGACAAAATGCAGAAAGTAGTCAAACTTTGTTGATATATTTTAAGACGAAGTAAAGAGTTTATTTGAAGGATTCAAAGATTGTGAAGACTCGCAAAACTTGTTCCTCAAATTTTAATCATCCAGTCACTTTTGTATGGATCCAAACACAACACAAGATGTGCAATTCGAAATTATGCGAAGTGGAATCTTTGTTATAATGCTGTTACAACATGTTATCTAGAAACGTCACAAAACTTATTTGATCAGGCTAACTAGTCAAATGTGAACCCTTGTTGTAAAATAAATTATACAGAAGGATTTATATATTCTTAAGAGTGAATGCAAATACTCCTCATCTCGAAATAAAAAATCTTTTTTATCAAACCTCAAAGTTATGTCTATGGAAGAATTGGGAAAGTGACGAAATCACCTTCAAAAGGAGTATGTCTAGTTCGTTGTAACAGTTAATTGGTTATTGCAAAAATTCGTTCACTTTTTGCCGAAAAGTGCATAAGAGTGATTATGAAATAGTAGCTTAAAGTTAAAGCCTTTGCAGATCTTAAAATCGAAAAAATCTTCAAAAATGCTCAAACTATCCAGCGATGTAAATGCTGGAACAAATTACAAATTAGACATAGCATAATTAAACAATATCTCCATTACTATAAAATATAATCAAAAATGTTATTTACAAAAATTACTTTATCCTTTACGGGCTGTATCTCCGTAGTGGACCACTTTAGGACATTTTTTCATAAGAACTTGCCGCATTATATTTTTGTATTCATACCAGAAATTGACTAGCACATCATGTATATGAAGGGCGGGAGAATTCATTTGCATACGTACCTTGTAAAGGAAGTCGTAATTACCAAGTTACTATTTGTGATGCAATTTCTTTCCAGAAATGTCCAGCCCGGCAAACTCTAAGCCACCCCCTGGCGTTCCATCGTCTGGAGGAGGCACCTCCAAAGCGATCTCGGACGCCGGGGACCTGGACTCCGTCCGTTCCTCCAGCTCCGAGGATGTCTCCCAGGCGGCTCCTAGGGGTTACTGCTGTGCCAAATCCATCAACCCAGCCGACGGAAGGGGCAGGAGATTGCATCTGTTGCAGATGCTCGTCTTGCCATTTATTCCTATCTTAGCGCTGATCGTGCAGACCTCTATCATACTGGATAATATTATGATCAACAGGAATGAGGTCATGGATGTTGACAGTCAGGTTAGTCGTTAGCTTGTTTTCGTTGATCATCATAGCTATTTAAGTATCTAGAGCGTAAGGTTGGCGTTTGTGGCTCGTGGCTCGAAAGATAGATAAACTATAGACTTTAATATTGATTGGAAACTATCTGTCAAAAAATTTATTGCAGATGGTGTCCCAAGGAATCGATAGTATTTTGTAGCACTCCTTTTTATACAATATCATTTATGCATCTAGCTTATACAGAAATACCAGTAACCGTGTATACACGGTGATTCATGAAACAGTGGAAACATTCCTCGGGCATAAAGTAAGTAGATCAAAAAATAACACGAAGAGTTCATAACTAGAACTTTGAGAGACCCCCGTACAAAGGCGCTGATGTAACTAGAACATCGAGAAACATCGAACGCCATCTTGCAAGATTCGACGAAGGCTCGACTTCCACTTGGATGGCTTCAGTCACAGACAGCAGTCTGTGGCTTCAGTCACAGACAGTGGTCTATGGCTTCAGTATTGGTCGATTGAAGAAAAAATAACACTCGCCGACGGCAGAGGGAGAACATAGTCGACGGCGGACGATGAGTCTTCAATAGCGCGAAGTCAACATGGAACAGACCATTCAACAATGTCACAAATTTGTAATATATTAGGTCAAAGGGGATATGATAGCAATAAATCAGACCTTAAATTCTAAAAAAGCTGTTTTCGTTACAATATAAGCATAACTCCTGGTATGCGCCTTACCCAGGTACACGGTGTTGAAGTTACAGTTTCTAAACTGAAAAAAATTATATCGTAGGAGTGGATCAAGATAATTACTTACTACGTGTAGTACTAATCAATAGATAAAACAAATACTATACCAGTCGCTTAGAAGTTGGGAAATTGGTTCGAAGTTCCAATGTCAAATCCATGTAAAAAACTTCGTGCTAGAATGAGAATGCGCTAAAGTGTGAAGTTTGTTATTAAAAATTGTACGTAGTGTACAGGAGAGTAATCCTATCTCACCATAACTTACAATACCCTGTATCTTTCCAATGAGATATTTTAGAACATATGTTTATAGGACTTTTTTGTTATTTTTGAGATATTTTCTAATCTAGGAAAAATGCTGTTGTTTTTTCAATCACCCCGTATAATAGTCACAGACCCCATCTTTTCCCTAGTCTTTTCCGATCTTCTTTAGAGAGTGTATCTGGAACGAAATACTGCAAGCTCTGGATTCAAATATGATAAAAATGATATGCGATACTGTCAACATAGCGACAAAACACAAATACACAACCCTCACATTTTTAGGGGATGCGAATATAGTAATAATGTGATATTCGCGGAAACATCTACTAAAACCAGATAATAAGAAAGTAATGAAAAGTGGAGGAAGACAAAAATCTTCCAAAACATATATTTTGGTAAACATGGAAAATTCTGACAAATCTCCATGATTTTCTGACCGCTAAATGATAACAAATATAGTGCTTTTCATAAAAGCTTATTTTTCAAGCAGGTGAAGTTAGCAAGTTGAAATTCGTACGTCTTTCTGGTCCACACCGTCGTTCTGGTTCTCGCGCATTCGTTTCGGAGAATAAACCTAAAAAGGTTTCCTAGACCTCAAAGTAATTGTTATAAAAAATCAAAATAGCAATTAGTTTCCGTTTATCAAAAATATTCAGAAGCTACCCCCTATTTAGGGGTTAAAATGACCTCAAAATCTAATGTCTCAAAAATTTGACACTTTTTTCGAATTCTAAGCTCCCCCTATTGAAAAGAATGATTTCACATGAATTAATTGTTATAGGATAAAAAAACTAATGTGCGACCGCCTGAAAAAATGTGAAAACAGGTAAAAACAGCAAAAAAGCTGTAGCAATCAACTTCAACAGCCTGACAGTCCGCCATTTTGGAAGGCAATGAACTAATTTATGTTCTAGAGTGATAAAGGAGTTATAAGGAGCTTTAATATATGACCCCGCTTTCATTTAATAAATAATTCATGAAGGCGCCCATATTGCAATATTCGAATGTTATTGTCACGTTAAGACAATCTATGCATCAATTTCATCACCTCGAATTTTATCTTGCTTACTTGACACTTTCAAAAAATAATTATGGGGGAACTGTGTAGAATTGGCTGTTTACTGATGTTTCGATCAGCTAGGCTGTGGCCTTTTACAAAGTACCAATCAAAATGGAAAAGTTGTAATAAGAATATTCGTCTTCTAATGACCCTTATTTGTGAGAGTCTGTCTCTCTATATCCCTATAACAATCTATCATTATTTGGTTAATGTTGCAGTCTAAATGTCAATATCTAAGATGTGCATAACGTTGAATTATTATTTGACCAACACAGTTTATAACTGAAGGAAGCCCTGGAGAAATAAGTTATTATACTGTTTATCCCGCGAGGTAAGGTACAAAATTTTTCTACGTGTTCCTCAGGTCAATTCGAGTGGAAAAAGTTCTGTGAATGAGATAATGATTTTTTTATTTTTAAGGTACTAATGGTGGGAAAACCACAATATTACTTTTATTTAACACAAAATTACTAGGTAGAATAAAAATAACTATTCACAATAGTTGTTCATAGTGTCCACCTTCACACTGTAAACATAGTCTAGCCCGTTTAATAATGTGACTGGTCGCTTTCCCAATAACAAGACGATTACTTCTTATGTCGTCAGCGACATCAATAATTTTACGGAGCAGTTCAGCCCTGGTATGCGATTTCTCTGCATACACTAAAGATTTCATATATCCCTACAAGTAATAATCCAAAAGATTTAAATCGGCGAGCGGGGTGGCCAAGAAACTGCGCCCCCTCGTCCAATCCAACGCCCAGGAAACGTGTTATTTAAATACTCAGTCACATGTCTACCACTGTGGGGCGGAGCACCGTCATGCTGTAACCACATCTGTTGTCTTCTCTGCAGCAGAATATCCTCTAACAACACAGGCAGTTATTCTCGTAAGAATTGAAGATAAACTTCAGATGTCAACCGACCGTCAAACACAAAAGGGCCAACTAAGTGATCCCTTAACAAACCGCACCATACATTAACAGAAAAACGGTGTCGGAAATTCCGTTAGATAGTTGCGTGGGGATTTTCAAGCTGCCAAGAATGGGAATTCCTCAAATTATTGACACAGTCTGCAGTAAAAGTAGATTCGTCGGTGAACAAAATATTTTTAACAAGATTACGATTTGCCAGGAACCAGTTACAAAACTGCATACGAGGGTCCGAATCAGTGAGGAACAGAGCTTGGACAGGTTGCAAACCAAACTTATGCATTGTTCTCCACACAGTCATTCGGCTAACACCAGTGCGACGTGATATTCTGCGGACGCTGGTTGATGGTGACCGTTCAATAATATCCAGTATTGAGTCATGGGCAGCTTCTGATGGATGTGTTACAGTAGCATTTGGAACCGATCCTGTTGGTTTCACATGTGCCAAAACTCTTCTATCAGGTATTCTTCGATTTGGATACCGGCGGCGGTATTCGTTCATTGTTGCAATATCCGTAGACAAACATCATGTCACCGTATTTCTCATTTGTAAAAACAAACGTGACAGTAATTTTTGCAAAGTTCAATCAAACCGACACAACTACTCCGTCAACAAACAAGCACCAGCGTATTAATCGGGCAGTACAACGTGAATGTGGTCTAATGATTGTAAACGATTGTTTTCATACGAACAGTATTACATTTTTTGTTCAATATAAGCAATTTTCCAACAATATTGTGGTTTTCGCCCACTAAAAATAAAAAAATCATATCTGGATAAGGAAGCATTTGCGGACCCATGTTCATTCGACTTTTTCGACTCGAATTGACCTGAGGAACACGCAGAAAAATGTTGTTTCCTCGCGGGACACCCTGTAGAGCATAGGTTCATTTAAAACAATTAAATATTTTAATAGAAATAGTTAATCTGTTTATTTGAACCGCGGACCCTACAGGACTCGGCCCTTCAATCGTGAATGGTTGGGAATATGCTACATTCGGAGTGCTGGTGTACGCGCTTCCTCAGTTTCATTTGTGATTTTCGCGAGGAACTTCATATTTGAATGTTGCCGTTGTTGGTATGCTGAAGTTGGACCGCTACGTACATTTTCTCAAATAGAAAATTTCCCATCAAACATACATTGAGTGGTGAATTTTTATTCTATTTTTGTGACGATTCGGAAATTTCATATTCGGTATATTCGTTTATTAATTAAAATTATTTTTCTGGAATCTCCAAAATATTATCTTAGGCTAAGGATTTTATTAATGACTGGATGGTTGCCTTCAACCACATTTTAAAACAGCACGTATCTATCTGAGTTGCAACATCTAATACGAATCTGGAGAGTAGCTATTAATCGAGTGCCTATCTTCCAAAACTCCTTCGAGGATGTATTAAATTTATTAGAATATTATTCTCCAGCAGAACATGCACCGGCAACAATCTGCGCCAGTTACGCAACAGTCTATATACATAAATATAAATTCTTCCGAAGCTGGAATGCATAATTTCGCAGTTGTGCCAGCAAAACCTCATTATTCCTCCAGATGGTTTTGAGAATTTCTCACAAACATGAATGTTGTTCCAAAAGTATTACTTGCAATTTTCATTCTCTAAAGAATTGAAGTTTTCCAGTAATACTTGGACTCATTACTCATTTGAAGGCAAGGGAAAATGTTTCATAACGTAGGGAAAGACGTTACAGTTTCAACAGTTGATACTTATCCCGCATTGGTCGATTCTGGTACTAGATAGCAGTTCTGCCGTTGCATTTCTATCAACCTTATACTTCTGATCGAGGTTATTTTAGTTAGATCGTGTTAAGAAGTATCTGTACACGGTAGCTCGGATTAATTATAGTGTTGTCAAGGACGAAGGACCGGTACTTTATCCTACATGTGTCCAGTACTTTCTATCTAGTTCTTCAGTCTAGTGTCTACACGCGAAAATATAATTCGAGTCGCGATGTTGCCATGCTGCCAAGTAAAATCATCATGTCATGAAA